ACTTTATAAACCCCACTATGAAGTACTTGCAATCCCAGCACTGGGGAGGGGGCGTTGCTTACTGGAGATTTCTGGCCAAGCAGCTGGACTATTAGGCAAATTCCAGACCAGGGAGAGACCCTGCCTCAAAAATTTGGTAGGTAGTATTTGAGGACTAACACCCATCCTTGTCCAAGGTAGCCCTATACCCTCCACATACACACTTGTGTGTGTATATGTGTGTGTGTGTGTATATACACACATATATAGACAGACACACACACATATACAGCGACAAATACACACAGACATACACACAAACACATACACACACACTCAGCACACACGTGCACATAATAAGGAAGCAATGATTCATGCTGCTTTCTTGAAGACATGCTAACTCAGTTACTAAAGATAGGCTGCCTGATTCCAGGTGTGTGAAGGACACAGTATGGGCATCACAAGGCAGGTGCTCACTGGAGACTGGTCAGACGACAGGGACTAGTGGAGTGAGTACTAAGAGTTTCAGTTTTTCAAGGTGAAACAGTTCTGGGGGTTATGTGCACAGCTGTGTTGATATAAAAAGTACTACAGGACCAAGTACCTAAAGTGGCTAACAGTAAATTTTATGTTACATGTATTATACAGCAATTAAAACTGGAAAAAAAAGAAAGAAAAAAAGAAAGAGAAGCAAAGAATCACCTGTAATTTTTTCTAGAGCTGGAGACTGTTGGAAAATCTACATCACATAAACATCTGTACAGATGGCACATGGGCCACACAGTTGGACCTTATGATACAAGTAGTTGGTAGCCTGTTTATTTTCCTTTAAGACATCAAAGGAAGACTCTTTGATGAGTAAATATGTACATTGGTCTTAAAGATGACAGAGAAATCCCCATTAATCAATTTTTAAACTCTTCCATGACTTACATCATGATTATCAACACCCTTGTATTAGATTATCTATTAGATTATCCCCTGTTTAATTGCTTTCAGAGCCTCCTAACACTGCTGTCAAATCATCCTTAAGAAAAGCTTGTGTGGCACCACATGCTCCTCAGCCCTTGTGTGATGGTCTGACTCACCACCCTTCTCGTGTTTGACCTCAGTTCTGCCATGCAGTCTCAGGCAAAGAGACTGGGGTGAGATGTCACCTCCAGGGCACTGGGGGGGGGGGCGGTGAGATGATACTGAGTGAATCCTTGTATAGCATCGACAGCCTTCGTTCCTACGTGGTCATCATTTTTCTCCCTATCTACATGCCTTACTTCCTCATGAGCCACAGAGCCCTTTGGGAGCAGGGACACAGCCCCTGACTCTGCTGGGCTGTGGAAGCAACAATGGCTGAGGGCTTTCATGAGGCCATCTAAGTAAAAGAAAGACTTATGTCTAGAATCTAGAGGAGATGTGAACAAGGAGTCCACATTGAAGCCAAAAGCACCTCTATCTTTTTCTCACTTGTTTTCAGGCTTGGAACACTTTGGTTTGAGTTTTAGATATTTTGTCATTCAGAACAAAAGGTACCCAGCTAAGAAAACTAGCAGGCATCCTCAGTGGGCACTTTAGGTTCCTTATCTCCAGCCCTTTCCATGAGAGCAGCTTGCCAGAGCCACTGAAATTGTGGGATTTTTCTGATCAATCTGAAACGCCAAGGGGGCCAGGGTGGGCATCCATAGGCAAACCTGCTTCTCTCATAGTGAAGTTCAGAATCTGCCACTAACCAGCTAGCTAATCCAAAGGACCTTCTCTACCTGCTGGGAGGATGCTACTGGGTTTTATGGCCCTGGTTGATGTAGAATCCAGGCATCCTCTCAGGGGACTGGTCCCTTCAGGCAAATCTCATGCTTGAAAAAAGATTTGATTTCATGCAGATCATCCTCCTCCCATCAGAAATCACACTAATATTACACCTTTGCAATGGTGTTGAGGAAGGGATTTTGTCTGCTCATTCGGTGAATTCTCTTCTCATGGCCTTGAGAATTCAGTGTGTTTTAGAGGTCCAAACACTTGGCAAATGGGACACATCTTCAAAGAGAACATTTTTAGCTGAGATGGGATGATAATTTGTGTGAACTAATAGCTCTTTTCCCTCACGTCTTGCCATTTGCATGCATATTTCCTCTGTATGGGGCCCCTTTCTGCATTATCTCCATTTGATTCTGCCAGCTGCCCACAAAGGAGACAGCAGGGCAACACTGTGCTCTTATTACCCCAGCTGTTGGGGCTCTTTGTCGTACGTATCCTGGCAATGAGTAGAAAAGTTGTACTGAAGAGCTTCAAAGAAGGAAAGCTGTTTCCTTCCCACAGTAAGCACTCGATTTGTCTACTCTGGAGAAAACTACATTCCAAGCTAGAGGCAGAGGCTTAAAAGAAGAAGACTGCCAGGGTCATGATCAGAAACAAGAAAAAGAGAGTTACATCTAAAATGTAGAATCCCCACTAGGAAGATGTTGGCCAGGCTATGTGGTGTAAATTCTCTCTGTCATCTTTGATGAGGCATTTGGTAAAAATATGTGCAATGTGTTTCATGATTTCTTTTTCAACATTGGAGATTAAACCCACTCTCTGTCTCTGTCTCTGTCTCTGTCTCTCTCTTTCTCTCTCTGTGTGTGTGTGTGTGTGTGTGTGTGTGTGCATGCATGTACCACAGTTTTGTGCTGACACTAGCCTCCAGGTCTAGGAGGCCCAGTTTTACTTGGGTAATGTTGGTGAAAAAGTCTGTTCCTATTTGTCTTACTTGACCTTCACATTGCAAACCCTTGCAAGGGGGAAAAACCTCAAGGGGTTTTAGTTTTGAATTGTTTCCAATCCAAAAAGGGGGGGGGCAAGTGGTAATTAGTTGAGAATGTGCAGGGTTCTGAATAAAACTCAGTCTTCCTGACTGTCAGCTCCTCTGTCCTTCCCATTTCTTCCCCCTCTCGCTCCTTCCTAGCAGTGTGCTGATGTTAGGAATGAACTTTTAGTCTAAGATCAAGATACTACCTGAAAGAGTTTTAGCCTCAAGAGTCCAAAGCATTGCCTTCTGAGAAGTAAGGCCTGAGTATGCTGTTCATGTGTGTGGAGAGTCCACAAGCCCTGCTTCTTCAGTGGAGAGGCTTGTGGGCAGCTGCCTGACTTGGGTGTGTGTATCTCAGTACCCGGTCTCCCACAGGCAAAGGATTCAGAACTAGCAGGGATTTCATACCTCACCTGGGCCAACCAGAGTTTTAATAATTTCTAGTCAGGACTCTGGCTGGCAGGTTGCCAGGCTGCAGCTTGCACACACTCAGGCCTGAGAGAGCTAATACCACGGTCCCTGAGGACTTCAGTTCCTGCTCACTTCTACCTTCCTTTCAACACTGGAAGAGCCCATTTGTATGTAGTTTGGCTAAGAAAAATCCTGTTGCTTTCCAAGTGACGCTTTGTTGTTTGTGTTACACAAACATCTGAAAAATCAGCATTTCCTACTCCACACCGAGCCAGAATTGACTGCTGTCTCTATAATAAAGCAGCATGTTTTGTTCCTTGCTTCTAATTGGAAGACAGGAAGTCTCAACAGACAGAAAGAGTGTGTTTATTGATCCAGCCTCATCCCAAAAACTGGCCTGCACCACAGGGGATGAGCCTGAGGAAGAGAGCCGACTTTAAATAGTTTGCAAATCCTCCTTAGCAGCATTAATGGGCAGTCGACTGCAAGGTGCATTAAGACTGCACCTGCCAAAGTAAATGAAGGCAGAGCGAACTGTTTTGTAATGACCTGAACATTCCGTGGAACGACTCATTTTTCCGAGTTGCTCGGCTCCTCGTGCTGATCTGGAAACACACTGGTTCCCCAAATGCAGAGATAATAAAGCTTTTATGAATGCAGGAACAAGCCTTGCATTCTCAGAGGGAAGAGCAGATTCATCAACTAGGTCTCAAAAGAAGCAGCAGAGAGCAGAAATCTGGGGCAGCCTAGCTGGGCAGCAGCCGACAAGGCCAGATCTTGGTCCTTGGAGGAAGTCTCCATCACCTCCACTTTTCCTTTTCCCATCCTCCCACTCAGCTATACTTACTACAGCAGAGCAGGACTGGGTCTGGCTTCCTTGTGACCCCCTTGATCATGTCCCACCCCAGAATGAGCTAACAAGAGCTCTGAATATACTGCTAACATGTGGATCTGGGCCTGAATGTTGGCAGACCTGAACACTGTCCTATGTGGTGACCTATATAAAGCAGTGTCACCTGCTGCCTGAATCCTGGCCTCACTGATCCTAGGGTCCTTTTGCTTCCTGTGTCTGGCACCATCTAGTTGTCACACTTGCAGACAGCCCCAGGGTGGCCCTTCTGCCAGCTGCAGAGTTGGTGCAGTGTGGTCTGAGCCTTGCTCCTACCAGGAAGATGAATAGCCTTGTTTGACGTGGGATTCCAAGGGAGCTCTCCTCTGTTGAAGGTACACCTGGTTCCTGATGACAATATGGAATACCAGTATTCCAAGGAAATGAGCAGAGACGTGAACAGGAGCTGCGCAAGGCAAGAGAGCTTAGAGTCCAGCAAATCTGCGTTCTGACCCAGCTGCTGCTGCTTGCTTCCTGCACCAAGGGCAAGTTTACCCAGCCCCCCTCAGTGGCTGCCCTTGGGCACACAAGGATGAATTAGTATGCCATAAATAACGTTAAAGGACAGGGCCTGACAGATGTCAAGATGTACAAGTCTCTTCCTCTCACTGTCCCTCATCACATTTCTTTAGTCACTAAATACTTAGTAACATTCTGTAACCCAGAACTAAAGGGCAGAGGAATCCTACAAACTGAGAGATCCGGCAGGCTGGTCTGATGGATTAAGCCCTGGCCTGAAAGTGAGCTCTTGAGTTCTGACACTGACGTTTAGTTGAATCATAGAAGAAAAATTTACAACTATTTGTTCAGATTTATTACTTTTTTTTCTTTAAAGATTTATTTATTTAATACGTATACAGTGTTCTGCCTACATTCCAGAAGAAGGTACCAGACCGAATTATAGATGGTTGTGAGCCACCATCCCATGTGGGTGCTGGGAATTGAACTCAGGTCCTCCGGTCCTCTGGAAGAACAGTCAGTGCCCTTAACCTCTAAGCCATCTCTCCAGCCCCTAGATTTATTATTTTCTTATGGTATTTTTCCATGATTTTTTGTAGCAGAATATATTTAATGAAACTTGCCATCTTGGTCACTGTTAAGTGGATATATCAAAGATATTAGGAACATGTCTATATTTCCACATTTTCTCATCACTTCTCTGTATCTACTAAGGAATAACTGCACACACCCATACCTTTCAGAAGCTGGTGGCCTTGGTGGCACATTCTCTCTGCGTTTTATTTCCTTCATGGAACTAGAATCATACAGTTTGGTCTTTTGTTGTCTGGCTTACTTCATACAGTGTCATCTGTATTATACTGTGCTCCAGAATTCCATTCCTTGTGTGTCTGAATCATAGTCCATTCTGCATTGTTTACCACATGTTGTTTGTTGCTATTCATCTCCAAACGTCTGGGTTGCTTCTGTCTTCTGGCCACAGCAATGCTGCAGTGAATATCGGTAAGTATAAATATCAATGTTTGAATCCTAACTTCTGCTCTCTCAGCTACAAACTGAGGGCTGGGATTTCTAGATCATATGGCAGTGCTGTGTGTGTGTGTGTGTGTGTGCATAAGCCATCTCCCTAGCTCCCTATATCTGTTTTTTTGAGGAACCTCTGAACTGATAACCACAATGGCTCCCCCATTTCACATTTTTCTCTGACCCTTTCTAACATTTCTTATTGTCTTTCCTACTTAAGCCACCAATGTGTAAGTGTCATCTTGCTGTAGTCTTGATTCACATCTTCCTATTGACTGATGATCATCAGCATATTTTTCTGATTCTTGTGACCATTTATGTATCTTCTTTGGAAAAAATATCTATTGAATTCTTTTCACTGCTTTTAACTGAATTGAGTTTTTGACGATTTGGAAGGGTTTATATATCATTGATATTAAACCCTTATCAGACATCTGACTTCCAAGTAATTTCTACCAATTTATAATTTACCAGTCCATTTTATTCAGTTTTATTTTTTTTACATAAATTCCAAGCACATTCTAGTGTGACTTAAAATTATGGACACAATTCTTCAATTCTGGGGTTAAAATTGCCTTGAAACTGTCTGGACCTTCCTGTGTTATGTCTGTTCTTGAGAATTCAAGCAAGCATGGGAACTTCTCAACACAAGATGACAACTTGGTGTTGTGAAGCAGTTTCCTGGAGCTGAAACATTTCATCCTGGAGAGAGGCCGCATGCAAGTCAGGAAGTTCTAAGTGGAAGCGTCCTCCCCACCCCTCAGGGAGAAGGGCAGAGACTAAGGAGACTCAGGAAGTAAACACCTTACAAGTCTCAAGAAATTTCGGAAACTAGTAAGATACACAGAGTCATGCCCATGTTTATGTAAGCAGTGAACAAGCTGCCTGCCCATCATGTAGCGAGCTTGGGGATTGCAGCTTTCATAAAATGCGGCCCATGCTAAGGTGGGCTTTTCAGTGATACCACCTTTGCGTAGCCCTTACTCCTTTAAGTAACACCAGCAAACTCACTGATTTGCTAGTTTGGACTTTAAAGGAATTGTTTCTTTGATCTGTTCTTGGTTACCTTTGTAGGGTGTGGAAATGGTTGCTTGTTCTCTAGGAAGTCATGACACGTGGTGGAATCATATTTCTGCACTCAGCTAGCTTCCTATACTGATAAGAGACAATGATTTTGTTGTTCTAAGTGTCATTTGAACTTCATATTTGGCCCAGCCTCAAACAGAACAGCTGCATAAAATGACCTCCAAGAACTGCCTTATTCCCTCTGTTCAGCAGTGGTATGACAGGGTGAAATGACTGATTTGGTTATTTTATTATTCTAAGTGACATCTGAACTGCTGATTTGGCACAGCCTCCAACAGACCATAAGCCGATAAAGATCTTCCATATTCCCTTGGTTCAGCAATGGAGGGATAGGGTGACATAATCTAACTGGATTGGCTTCTAATTGGCTGAAATCCTAATGCACAGATACCAAAGGGATGGAGATAGTTCCTGACTCAAAACGAGCCAGCCCAACAGAGCTTGAAGTTGAAATGCATGTTTCAGCATCATCTATAAACAGCTATTAAGTGGGAACTCCCTGCTTTTCACTCTGATAAAGGACAGTAGAGATTCAGCCTCTTCAGGGAAATTCTAGAGAGAGAACAAGGGGACTTGGAAGACTGGAGAGGAAGGGGGACAAGACATGGAATAGTTTTCTCCCAGCCAATGTATCTTAATCCCTTTTTTCTATCTAGAGAGAAAGTGGTCTGACCTGAGAGGGGAGAAAAACAAGTAAGACAAGGCAGTAATTCAAGTCCCAGCTTTAGAGTGAAGCCCTGCACATCCACAGTTTGGTGCAGAACTCTCCATGGTATGGTCTGTCTAGAGGGTAGGAAGCAGAGTCTTCAGGGTTCATGAACATAGCCTTGCCCAAGGAAAAGATGGGAGCTGTTACTCTAACTCACAGTAGAAAAAAAAATGCTGTGATTAAGTGTCTCAATAGGGCTTAGTTAGGCAGAGGAAGAGACAAAATGGAGCTTCATAGCACCAGGCTGAGGAGAGGTGGCAAAATCAAGAATCTCTATACCAAGTACTAAAAGGATGCTTGGTTTAGCATGGGACCCTGGGAGGATATCATGAAATATCTATGGCTAGAGGATGTTTCCTGCTGGAAAAGGCCAGGAACCACTTGCCATAGAGAGTTTTGCTTGATACCAGCAAAAATACAAGAACCCCACCTGTATTTATATATGTGTACACACACACATGCACGCACACGCACATGGTGGAGGGGTAGAGAGATGAGTTGAGATGGCAACAGAAAAGAGGCCTTGGCTCCTGGCACCCTGGCCAAGAGAATGACAGCCTCTGCCCAAAAATGATGCCAAGAATTGCCTGCATGGCAGGCTCCGAATGCCAGGAGACAGCAGAAGCAGCATGCTGTACTTTCTGTTGGTTTTTGTTAGTCCTCTACCTTGCCAGATGCCCATGAAGGGAGCTTTCTCCCAGCCCACAAATAATTAAGGCTAATAGAATACCTCTGGCAAAGGGAACAGGCAGGACTCGCTGCCATCTCCAGTGCTAGGCTCCCAGGAGGGACCCACCTACCCTGTGCAGTTATCATGTCCCACAGAGGCAAAACATGTGCTTTGGAGGGAAAGCAGTTCCAACGTTGGGCCTTATTGCTTGAATGGCTCTGGAGCCATCTCTCTGGTCCAGGGGTAGAAGTTGGAAGACTTTCAAGATGCTGTTCTTCCTATGAAAAGTGGATAATCAGAGTGACTCCATGAACAGCATGCTGAAGCCTAGGGAGAGAGGACACTGTGTTCATCCTGTGCTCTAGCCCATGCATCTCCCTCTCATGTTGGCCTCAGGTCAGGAGGGTCACAGAGCTTGGTAGTTTCCCTCCCCTAGGTATTGCATCAACACTTTCTTGCAGGCTCTGAAGGCACAGCCCTCTTAGCAAAATCAGTTTGTTATTTCCCCTATGCAAAGCATGAGGTCCATAGAGCTAGCACCTACAATTAGCCATTTAGACAGCAAAAGACTGTAATTAGTGCTCAGGCTCTGGAAACAGCCTACTTCAGTTTGATTGGCTCTACATCACTATGTGACTTTCAACAAGTTACTTCTCTGGCCATGATTTCTATGTGTTTTGGCAGTGTTGGCCAAGTAATTAGTAATGAAGGGTCAGAGCCAGAACATGTGACTAAATCTGCTAGTCATTGTCTCTTTGACAACAGGTAAAATGGACCTCCTCATCTGGAGCATCCTGATGACGCAAAGGGGTGCATGATAATATCCAGGAACAGGGTAGGTGGAAGCCTTGGATGGCTGTTCCAGGAAGTGCTGGGAACAGCCTGCAGGGAGGGGCACTGAGGACCACCACCCTGCTTTCTTTACAGCAGGGGACACCCTCTCTACAATTTTTCCCTGCCCTCTAGCCACTCCCACCCTTTTCAGGTATTGCAAGAGGATATATCAATGATTAGCAGGTACATGTCAGATGTTAGAATGTCAGGTTACTTCAAAACTGCTATATTCTCAGCATTTTATAAATTGTACATCTCTCTGGTGTTTATTGACTGAGCCAGCAAGTGAGTAAATGGCTGGAGAAATGCGCAATCCCCTCAGGCTGACTGTCACTGCCTAAGAATGAGAGCCACACTGCCATGGGGCGAAGCTCCAATCCATTATGATTGCTCTGCAAAAGACAATAACAACGGTGGCACTTTAGCTTTAGGAGCAAGATGCTGGTGATGCTCTAACACAATGGATGTGCAGGCGTTTCTGAACCTACAAGTGACAAGGAGGGTGGCTTGTGATCTCCTGAGGTGGTAGGGTAGAATCATTAAGATAAGGGCTCCTCAGTTAGACTGCTTGGCAAAACCAGCTCTGGCCTCAGTAGCTGTGACATCTTGGGGAACCCCTTGTCTGTATTTTGTCCTCATGCAGGAGACTATTTGTTGGATTTTGAAAAGATAAAACAACATCACATATATAAAGAACTTGACACACAGTAATTCCTTCATACATGCTCATATATTTTAATTTTAGATTTTTTTTAGACACTGCAACAAAATTCCAGAGACAAAACAAACAAACAAACAAACAAAAAAAACCCTTATTTTCCTGACTCCTGACATACCAGGTTTCTAAGCCTAAGTGAAATGAAGTCAGCAGTCATTTAAATTTATATGTGCTCAAGATGTCTTGACTGATGCTAATCCAAGCATTTATGATTGCTTGAGGTGTGTTTACATTAGCCACTGGGAAGAAAAAAAAACCATCATTTCACATAGCACAGTATGTCTAAAGGGCTGCATAAAAATTTAACACCACTGGGCATGGTCGTGCAAGCGAGTCATCTCAGTTAGGAGGCTAAGGTGGCAAGATGACGAGTTCAAGGCTATGCTGTACAACTGAACAACAGCCTTTCTTAAAATCAAAGTTAAAACAGGGCTGGCAGTATAATTCAGCAGTAGAGCGCTTGCCTGGCATGTATTAGGCACTGAGTTCGATCCTCAGTATTGAAAATGCATGTATTGTGTCCCCAGTGGTTGCTGCAAATGCACACACATGTTTTGATAGAGTACATTTCCTTTCAGGGCTGCAGTGGAGCTAAATAAATCCTAACCTTCCTAGACATTTGACCAATAGCTAGATGTTTTAAACTATGGTGCACAATGAAAAGACATTTATGTCGATATCAAGAGTTCTTGACTCTGTTATTGGTAAATTATTTTCCAGCCTCATTTACACAGTTTTCTCATGATCTGTATGAAGCACTCAGAGAAGGAGGAGCCTAGCAGCCTGTGCCCTTCCAGGAACCTTGCCAGCACTAAGCTTGTTCTTGATATAGCCTGCCAGGTAGCTGGTGATGTGCTCTCACCAACTAAACTGCACCTAAGAATTACCAGAGTCCAAACAGTGTCTGGACGGTGCATAAGAAGATGAATATTTACTGGAGTTGTGAGCATTCCCTATTGGCTTGCCATTGTTGGGATACAATAAGCAAGGTTTGTGATTAATTGCTCCATAGGCCACATTTATGTTTGGAATAAATGCTGTTGTTTGGGAAAAAGCTATTCAGCTTTTCCAAACTCATTGATTACAAAAAATGTATGCTGACTATCAATCATGTCCCAAGGACTATCCTAGGCTATGCTTACTTAGTGATTACCAAGAGAAGCCTCCTTCCTGCTCCCAAGGGACTTGGACTCTAAAGGAGAGCTAGGAGTAACTCGTGGCAGAGATGAATATGCTAGAGAGCAATCGCAGGTATGGCATACCTTAAACTGAATGACAATGGGCAACTGCTAAGACAGGAGCAAGTAAGGGGTGGTGAGGTCTGCCAGGCAAAAGTGAGCCAGTCCCAATCAGGAGAGAGGATGTTCAAAGGCTCTGAAGACTAAAACGCACCTATTCTTAAAGGATGGCGAGCAAGCTTTTACTATGACTTGTGTGTGATGAGCAAACTCACCCAAAACAGAGAGAAATCAGAATCCTTGTAACCCTTGCTCAAGAGTCTGGACTTCAGTGTGAGGGAGGTGTGTGGTCCCTGAGTATGGGTATGCCCAGCCTGTTTGAAAATTGTGACTGACTTTTCTGGGGGCTGAAGTGTCCTAATAAGTAGACTCAAACTCAGACCCATTTCTTTATCTCTGATCCTCTTTTAAAGAATGACATTACTATACACAGCCTTTCTTCTTCCTGGGAAATGGTTCTGTACTGTACTGATACTAGTGGGCCACTATTAGGGTTCAGCTGTGCTTCCTTAAGTTACTCTATGCTGTATAAAATAGTGTATACTATGTAAAACTGTGTCTTTCCCTGGGAGACTCCATTTTATAAATACCTTTTTACTTGATTTTTGAAAATGGAGGACGATTCTGCACCTGGCTGGACACATGAATGGCACTGTCTTCAGGCTCCATTTATGCAGCACAGACTGATGAATGAATATTCTTGGGTGTAAGAAGAGAGACATCCTATAAATTTATTCTGGAGAATTGGAGAGCATTTGTGTATATTAGCATCACATGAGAAAACCAGGCCCCCAAACTTTTCAGACATACCAGACCAAGGAAAAGGTGTAACTCCCTCACCTGGGCTCCATAAAGAGGTAGACACCCAGCACTGCAGTGGTGATGGCCCCAATCCACCAGCCATCTGGTCACCCAGTGTGTCTGTCAAATACCAACGGCAGAGAACTCCAGACTATTCCAGAGCTTCAGCTAGAACTGGTAGCCACTCTTGACACAACATATTTTAATCTACTTCTTCCTGTTGACCTGTCTGCCCATGTGGACCTGCTAGCCATCTGTGTGCCTGTTAGTGCAGCCAGACCTGATCTTTCCCTTTGCTTTCCCTTGCAGCTTAGCCTCACCCTGAGGCCTCCCTCCACACCAGCAGTCCAGAATCTTCCTCTGTCTTGTTCCTTTTGTTTTCAGTTCAGACTCTTAAATCCTCATCAGCTGTTCATGTCTCCACTTAATCTTACATGTAAAGGATGTATTACATGTAAAGGATGTACCGTAATTCGCAGACCTCTGGAAATCCTTGAACACTTTGCCTCTTTTGTCCTTTATAGGTACTCTATAAGCTACATGTATGTATAGATGGGTAGGTGGATAGGAAGATAGATAGATAGATAGATAGATAGATAGATAGATAGATAGATAGATAGATAGATAGATAGATAAACATTACGTTTACCATGTGTTGCATCATTTGAGAGGTAATGAGGTAATGTAAGTAAATAAGATTGTAATAAAAGAATCTCTTTTTAGCTTGGCCTTGGTTATCCAGGAAAGCAGGAATATCTGACAAGTTGTTGTCATTGACACCTCTGTTCCTTGTTAGTTCATTGCTATCCAAACAAACTCCAGCATTGTGGCAAGACACAAATGTGTTCACTGCTGTTTCTGAACAGCATGCTCATGACAGTTCCTATAAAGACCAAATATATATACTGGTACTTTCCAAGTTCCTGGGCTTTCCTGGATCCACTTTAGAAATATATTTGACTGATTTATCACTTAGAAGACCTCCTAGGGGCATATTGAGTCCTTCAATTCCATAGGAAATTTGAAGAGTTTTAGGCAATATGTCAAGTATAGAAAAATGTTCCAAGAGGTGATAGGAGGGTCTACTTTAATAGAAGGTACCTGCACAGGTTCCTTGTTTATCCCCATGGTTCTCAGTAGAAAGGGATCAAACACATGTACAAATAATAATAGGACTCTGGAGCCTAAAGAGAATTAGCTAGAGAGGAAGTAGTTTACATTTCCAAAGAGCAGCTTCTTAGCAGACTGGTTTTAGAGGAAAAGGACCCAGATGTTAAGTTCCCAGCAGGCTGAAATGTCTGAGCCCATCTGTGTGCCTAGCATCCAGCAGGCACCTCACAAACATTTGTGAAGCATGGGTAGATTTCCACAGAATATCTACCAATATAAGTACTAGGCACAAAATGGTGCTCAGGATAGCTGGGAAGACAGAATACTGACCCCATCTGCTCATAGGGCTAGTGGTTAAAAGTCCATGGAAGGAGACGACTCTGGAGTCTGAGCTCAAAGCTGAAACCTAGGCTGTGACCATGGAGACCTTTTAAGTGATTCCAGGGCCCAAGGTACACTTGGCAGTAGATGACAGGTAGGTAGTAGAGGAGGGGCTCACTGGAGAAGTTAACATCAGAAGCTGAAGGTCAGGCGTACAGACATGCTGACACATAAAGAGCAACACATGCCCAAATCTCTGATGGGCAAGAAGGAATGATCAGAGCACAAAGTCATGATAATGGCAGTTAAATGGGAGAGCGTTATAACTCTAAAGACTATGGCTTTCTGATGCAGTCGTTGGGTAGACTCAATGGCTTGTCATTCTGAGCATTTGATCATCAGTACCTTGGGGATAGGAACAGGGTTTTAGCTGCTGTCATATTCCTCCAGCCCACAACGTGTCATCCAAGTACCAGCTATCCCAGGGATCTAATGCAAGTGCCTGTCCTTATACCGAGTGACACTTCTCTGACACTCATGTCTTCCCAGCCATCCCAACCCTGAGGCCTGTTGTTCATACTTCCTCACAAACTTACCTTCTTAAGAGCATCTTTCTAGCATCTGTAATGTCTTTGTCTCAGGCACAGCTGTAGTCTTGAGATGAGCATACCAACAGACAGTAGTAGATTCCTAACACCCACTGTTAAAAGGAAAAGGAGTATTGGTTTAAATTCAGGTCCCGTGCTTCCTACCTTTGAAATTTGACCTTTTAAAGCTGATTTGGATCTATTTTGCCCTACCAGTACTCCCAAGGTTCAGAGATCATCACCAAAGAGGGGGCAGAAAGACTGTAGAAGTCAAAGGAATTTCTATAGCAAAATTGTATTTACTGGACATGGTAGCAAAGTTTTAGACATGAACTCACAGTGTCTTGGGTAACATACACAAAATTTGCATGAAATCAAAGCAGCCCAAATCCGAGCCTGGATAGGGGGGTTACTCAGGAATTCCTCTCTGTGGAGCTACTGGCAGTTGATGGCTCTTGGGAGAGAAAGAGTTAGTTTTCTCATGGATACAGACCTAGAGAGGCTACTCAGGCTTCAGCAGATGGTCTTATAACCCATGTACATACAGGCAGTATTGAGTGGACTCTGGGTAATCAATCAAGTGGGGGGGGGGACACATATGCAGGGAGGGGAAGCTGTACACCAGGTTCAAAGGAAATTCTATTTTCCCAAATCTTAAAATGCAAAAAATGACAAATTGGTAACTCTGCTGCCTATTAGCATACCAAAGCACACACTGGCCTCCCGCTCTCCCAGTACCACAAGTCCCTGTTACACATTTCAAAGTTCTTGCTCTCAGCTCCTACCCTAAATACTCCCAGCTCACAGGCTTCCCTTATCCCTGCTACTCCATTGCCTTAAATTCTGCAAGGCCATGCTCACTCTCTTTGTCTTTGTCTCTCTGTCTCCTTCCTTCCTTTCTCTGCTCCCATGTACTCTCCCTCTGTCTTTCTCTCTGTCTCTTGCTCTCTCTCTCTCTCTCTCTCTCTCTCTCTCTCTCTCTCTCTCTCTCTCTCTGCTCCGCTCCTGCTTCTCTCGTGGCCATGTTCAGTCTACTTCTTTCTCTGCTCTGGACTCTTCCAGATGCCTCTGGCTGTTCTCTCTCTCATATCTACAATAGAAACCTCCCAGACTTCCCCCTAACCATACCATGGAGTGGTCATTTTATCAGTTTGTACAGTTGGAAGGGAAAGAAACATGCATGAAGTTGGAAAAGAAAAGTGGGAGAACACAGGGCAGGAGCTGAAGGGGAGGAAATGGGGGATGAATTGGATGAACAGAAAATAAAATATTTCATTTCAAAAAGGATTTTCTCAGAGAGAATTGTTGTATTCACTTGAGAAACGTGCCATAAACAAGAATCAGAAAGGTGTTTGGCAAGTGAGGACCCACAAGCCTGAATTGTCTTTTGTACTTAGAGCAATGTGCCTGAAATGAGTTGATTTCATGACTGTTTAGACAGAAGGAGAGCTGAGTGAGCACACTAGGCTGTTGAATGCTACAGAAAGGTTGGTAGTGACATTCTTGAGCACGTTTATTGAGGACAAGTGGAGAAAGCTGGTGGGAGTGGGAGTGAGGACTGAGTTATCTCTGACTGTGATTGTTGATTGACAGTAGATTGTGGTACATTTTCCAATAACAGTTAAAAGCCATGGATCATTTTGTGTAAATAAAGCTTTTCAGCGTGCCACCAGGAGATGAAAGAGCCACTCAGATCAAATCTGACTGGTGTTGGTCTCAGTCAGTTCAGAGACTTGCTGTGGAGAGGGCACACACACTTTCCACTAGAGTAAACTCTGCTATGTAAACATCCAGCTAAACCCATGCCACAGCTGGAAATCCAGCCAAGAAATTGGGAAAGATCCAGAATGGAAGGACTCTTTACCCTGGAACACTAATACTAATTTCACAGCAAAATAATTTCCCCTGATACTCACTGCCATTTGGGGTTAGGTCACAGACCAGATGGTTGCCACTAGCCACATCCAGCGTGATTTATAAAGGCACAGCTCTGATCATTCCATGCATATTATGACCCTAGGAAACATGCTGACTTCTTTTATGCAGTTAACAAAACATGCACTGAACACAACAGTCATGCTTTAGGTCCCTAGAGCTCCTTCCTGACCCTGAGAGAGTGGGTAGGGAATATAGAGACACTGACAAATGTCACCCGATGTGATGTGGCAGCAGGGAGTGTGGCTTTTCATCTCAACTGGATTGTATTAAGACTGTGTTTCAAATCTTATCTCTACAACTTGCTAGCTGGGTAATCCCAGGTAATTTAAGTACCATTTCAAAGCCCCAGGCTCGTCTGTAAAGTAATGATGATAACTGCCCTTGCAAGGTTCAATAAAATAGTAAATGGGAAGGAATTAGTCCAGTGCCTGGTAATAGTTAATGTTCAATAAATCTGTCATATTCTCATCCTTCTCCTTTTATGACTCCTATTACTGCTCCCATCCCCTCTATAATCATTCAGATCACTCCCATTATAACTCTTACACAGGGGTGGAAATGAAGTCAAAGAGGGAACTTGACGGAAGGAAGAAGATTCCTAAGAGGCATTGAGATGTGGAGCTAGAGGTTTTTGAATCTCAAAGAATGAACAGTGTTTCACTAGGAATGGAATAAATATGAAGACCACCCTAGGCTGAATAATCAACAGAAGATTACACCCAACTTTGAGTTGAAGCAGTTTTCTGGGAGCAGCACATAGTCGAGTATGGCTGGGTACACTGGCTGATGAGGCTCTTAGCAGACAATGCATTGTGAGATCACAAGGATTTCCTGAAAGCCAAGGGAGAAAGATTGGTCAAGGTGTGTGAGTGATCTCCCATACCAGATTCAACTGCTGGGGTTAGGTTACTGAATTGTATAGTGTGGAAGTGATCGGTGACTTAACAAGTCTTGATGGAGGGAAGATGTGATTTGCCGTGAGAGTTTTCAGCTCTTTGTCTACTCTGCCCTTTGAAGAATAATGCAAAGAGATGACACACTGACCTTTGAGGATGATCCCTTGCTTCCTTCTTTGTGCTGATGGTTTAGGGTACAGGGGAGCAGCCACTGTCTCCCTGGCACTTATGAGCTAGCGAGATTTCTTTCTCTTCTAATGCCAGAAAGTCTTCTTCCAAGTGGCCATCCTATTGATTCCATCTGGTAACTCATTATTTCATTCACTTACCTGTTCATCTAATGATCTTTTTCCATTATCCAATCATTCAGCACATGTGTGTCAGAGATCCCCTGAGTACACAGTAGTTTTAAATTGCTGGGATAGATTAAGCGGGAGGGATTTTACACTGGTTTCATGGTTTGAGAGGAATTCAGTGCATTGTGCTGGGGAAGACTTGGCAGAAAAGTCCAGTCACAGATGTGGGAGTGGGGCTCAGGCCATCTACATCATTAACAGGAGACCAGGAAGTAGGCAGTGAGGGGAGAACCAAGGTTGGCTCGTACCCCAAAGAGGCCCACTCTTCTGACCTTTTCCTCCAGCTAGATCCCACCTTCTGTAGCCCCTTAAACAGTACCACATGCTAGAAAAACCATTAAATCAGGAGCCAGCAGGGGACATTCAGCTTTGCAACACCATCAAGCTCCTCCCACCACACACTCTAGAGAGAGGCAGGAGTGAGGATTCTGACTTTCAGATGCCAGGCAGTCAAGTAAATCTCAGCACAGGGCTCCTTGGCTAGCTGAGCACACCGGCACCACCTCGAATCCCAGCTACTTGGGAAGCTGAAGCAGGATTACACAGGAATTCTGTTGCAAAATCTCAACATAATGGGAGCCACCACTGGTATTCCAATTACTTACTGACAGATCTAAATGCTGGGTCCAATTTGCTCCTTACCCTAGATGTGCTAAGATATGCAGTTAGCCAGACAGTTAGCTATGCCATCATAATTTTAAAAATCAACCTAGGAAAGCATATTCTATGTAGATAGCATCACTTAAAATGGAACTGTGGCACCTATATCATGCATTTTTCAGTTGCCCAGCAACATTGGTATTACCTTTTCGGTGCTATCTATTGAAGGAAATGCATATGACCCTTGGGATTTTTACAAATCCAAAAGTCAATGACCAGAATGCAATTTGTCCTTTGTGGTACCTCCAGAAGTATGAGAGAATGTCACATCCCAGCTTCTGCAGTCTTCCAGAATCAGGACCATGCATGAGCATTGCTGTAACTTAACACTGAACTTCACTCCCTCTGCTTATGAGGGTAGGCATATGGATGCAGTGCTAATTATAATTCAGATATTCAAGGTTTAATGCTGAAAGAAAGACACTAGCTTGGAGAAGGATCAATTAGTGGATTATGAGGCATGGAGGAGATTTCTAAAATATTTATTTTGGGCTCAGATGTCAGACTATCACATAAACAAAATAGAAATATAGTCCCAAGATAAATGCTGCACTTTGCATATTTTAGACTCATGGCTGATGTATAATGGGATGTAATCAGAATTTCTATATGGAAGTATTTAGGGAAGAAAAGTCTTGGTTGTGCTTCCATGTATGCCTGCAGAAAAACCACAGCAAAGACAGGGTGATTTGCCCCCAGGAAACTTTGGAGTCTTCATTAATTAAGAGTCTTAAAATGACGTGGTTGCTGGATAATAATAGTATATGCCATGTTTACTTTAAAATGTTATATGTAAGCATAAAAATATTCTTTAGTCTTCCTGGTCATTGTGGATAAGGAACTATCCAGTGCCCCTGGAAGAAAAGAGGTGCATTTCGTCTTTAATAACCAGGGTTCTTCACAAATGAATGACTCTGTGGTTTAAACATGACATTGAATATTATATTTAACCCTCATATCAATCTATAACTGGTTGTGGTAGTCATCATTTCATAAATAAATCTGAAGCATACAGAGTTCAGATAATCCACTCAAGGTCGTAGAATTTAAATAGGAAGCTTATTTTTGGTGACTGAACAAGCTGCTTTGTCGTAAAGGCACCTGCATTCACCACCATTCTCCTTCTAAAGCCCACCTTGGAACATTACTGCCTTAGAGGGCAAACCTACAGAGTTCAGATACAGAGTCTTTCTGCTAAATGTAGAATCAATTTAATCTATATTCCAGAACTTTCCAGGCTGAGGCAGGAGGACGGTGAATTCAAGGCCAGCC